CCTCTTCGGCCTCTTCGGAGTCAGAATACGCGGGATGGCCCCGCATTTCGTCATCAGCGCCTCCCGCTTCCGAGCCAGCTCGCGGAAGATCTGGCAGCAACGGCATGCCAATCACCTGCGGTGCCAGCGCGGCGGTGAGCTCTTCCTCGGTCGCCGGGACGGTCTCAGCTTCGGAGATCTCGTCGTCGGCGGGTGGCCCCGCTGGAAGACCGAACCAAGCATTGAACGCGACCTCGTCGACTTCGTCCCAGCCGTGGAACTCGTCGAAGAGGGTCACTGCGTAGTCTTCCAGGGCTACGGTCACTTCAGCGTAGCGGGCCATCACGTAGTACGTGGAGGAGCCCGCGGCGGGAGCCGCTTCTGGATTGACGTAAAACTCGTAGTCAATGTAGTCTATGTCATCCATAAAAGAATTTTGAGCCAAATGTACGGATCCCTTTCCTTTCCCTTTCGGGCATTGATCGCGCAAGTGCTCTGTGCTGCCGCATGTATGACACTTCATAGTATTACCAGAAGCGTCCCTAGGGTTGCCCCTCCGCCCTTTTCCCTTACCGGAGGTCCGCCTGTGACCCCGACCTTTGCCTCCGATAAGAACTTCCTCAAAGACTATATCAGTTAAGGACGTGAGGAAAGCAGTAATACCCCTACCATGCATACGGCGTCTGCGACCCCCTTTGCCACGACCCTTTCCATATCGTTTGAAATGTCGGCGTACTGCACGTCTCACTTTTCTGACTGGTTTCTTCATAAAGCGCCTCCAACGGCGTTTTGATTTGCGATAAGCCATAAAAGCGGCTTCCGCTCTTTGTTGTTCAGAAAGGTGAGTGTCATCCGCTGGATAGTCATTACCAGCAGAGACTATGCCATTGTGCTCATCGTCAGATGAGGTGTCTGTGTCAGTGCCAGATTCAAACGGTGAGGGTGGCTGAGACCCTTGAGCGGATGACTCCGCTTGGCCCCAGAGGGTTGTGCCCGAGGGCGGGCTTGCAGTGTAGGCGGCGCCTGGCGAGTAGTTCGACCAGGCGTTCGCCTCAGCTGCCTCTGCCGATGCCTGGCCGGTCTGCCCTAAGAAGGCAGTGGCCTCGTTGGGCATATCGGCTGGGTCAGCCCAGGGACTTGGCTCGCCAGGACCAGCGGGTGACCCCGCAGTCGTGGCGTAGACACCTGCATGTGAGTGGTGCCCTGTGAAGATACCCGCAATGTTGCCAGGAGAGCGCTCGGCAACATGTCCGTAGTTCCTCATCCTGGTCAGCAGCCTGTCATAGTCTGCTTGTGTTCTGGGCATCTGATGATTAAAAGGCTCCAGCAGGTGTTGGGCTCGTGACGCGCCAACGCCTAACGCTCTGAAGAGAATCAGCGTTAGGATCTGAAAGTTGGGGATGACAAAGCCAACAGAGTTAGCCTCGTCACGGGCCATCTCGAATCGAGCTAACACTGAGTCGATTCGCTCGCCCCTTTCGACGCGAAAGTCGATAAGGGCAGTGCCAGAGTTGAGCTGGCGCTCATCTTCCAGATTTTCAAATTTGGTGCTCAGTAGGTACAGTATATATGTGACTGCATCCGTTGGCTGTCCATTGACAGTTACACCATAGTTGATGATCTGGGAGGGGACCTGCATGGCGATACGACGAGCAAGACCTTGAAGGCCTCGCTGTAGTGCTGCAGCTTGTTGTGGTGGCGTCATATTGCCGCTCGTTACGTTTATCCATGCATGTACTTCGCGAACGTATTCGCGAAAAGGCGTAGTACCGGCAGGGTCCCATGAAGGGCCAGTAGTACGCGTGTCGTCCATCCCCTGCCGCATGTATCCCACAGCACATCCCATTATTACCCACAGAATGCCGAAGATAGTTATCTTAATCCAGTGCATGTGCATTTCGGCTTCGGTGATTGGTTTAGGCTGTGGTTTGTCAGGCTCTGGCGTAGTAGCCGTGAGGCGCCTGACTGGCACGGGATGCAGGTGGCCCCGCTGCGGGTAGCCCCGCAGGGTGACCACGTTCTCGATCGAGTTGCCGATTGGCATCTGGTGGAAGTCGAGAGTGAAGTAGCGCAGTGAAGTAGGAGAGAGCGTCTCGAGTTCGCGGGTTGCCCCGCTAGCTCGATCGCGGACTGGCTCCGCTCCTCGCAGAGCCGGCGCAACATGGTATTCCACCGTAGTAGTAGTCCACCAAGTTGTGCCGTGGATTACAGGAATCAGAGCGAGAGCCAGCCACACGAGAGTGTAGCCAGCTCCGCTACCAAGTCGAAAACAAGCTGGTAAGCTTAGGTATGTGTTACGCTTTAAGCGTTGCCATATCCCAGGCTTTGGCTCATATCGCATGAGCAAGAGAGCAAGACGAAGCATGGGATCTGGAGTAAAGGATAGGATGGGCATCGTCAATGGAAAAGGTATTTTCCGATCTCAGATACAAGTCGTGCGCCTCGGTGAGGCACAATCACATATTTGGCCGGGCCCGGCTTGAGCCAGGCACGGCAGCGGTACATGCTCGATTTATACCTCGCCTTTAACCTTCTCCGTTTAAAGTGCTGGAGCCGCGCCCCGGGCTCCGAAAGGGCCGGCCATTGGCAATGCGACAGGGGCCCGACCACGAGAAGCCTTCCACACGAAACCCAGCCCTGAGACCCCAGGACGTCCACCGATTTTTGGCGTGGGAACGTCGCGCTCTCCATAGCAGAACCCTCGAAACCCAAGAAACCCACGTCACCCTGGGGGCAAGCAGGATGCTTCTTGGCATGGGTCTCCACTGTGAGGGCGTACGGTGAGGGCGTACGAGAAAGATGCAAGGGCCCCGGGGGGCCATGTCGGAGCTGTTCGAGAGGGGCGCGGCCAGCGCAAGTGGCCAAGGATGGACCGAGGGGGCGAGGACACAACGGCACCCTTGGGAATGTTGCCCATCGTTACTATAGGGGTTGACTTTGCCCCCGAATCGATTCTCGACCGTCGCCTGTCCGTTTGCGGCCGCTGGCCAAAGAGCTCCCCATAGTGTCGGGGTGTCCGGGCAACAACGGCTACGCCTCGGCGCCGTCGCTGTTGAAACTACCGTCGCTCGGAGAAGGTCTCCCCCGAACCCGACCCAGCCATCGATTCTCCTGAATCGATGGAAGGCGGGGGTGGGGTTCGGATTTCGCTGCGTGCTCGACGCGTTCCGAGCCCTACCCCCACCGCCCATCGAGTTGCCCGAATCGTAGATCGGCAAGGGCAGGTTTCGGATTTCGCCGCCGAGTCAAGGGAGCAGGCGTCGGCAGACCCGCGGCCCTAGCCCGAGCGAGGAAGGTCCGGACGCGGGCCCTGCGCCGAGGGCGGCGAAGCCAGGACAGGAACAAATCGGACGGGGATAAACCAGGAATGTCTGCATGACTGCCGCCGCCGCCGCTGCCGCCGTCGTCGTCGTCGTCGCCGTCGTCGCCGTCGTCGTCGTCGTCGTCGTCGTCGTCGTCGTCGCCGCCGCCGCCGTCGTCGTCGTCGTCGTCGTCGTCGTCGTCGTCGTCGTCGTCGTCGTCGTCACCCTTCAGGGTCGGCAGCACCGGCCGCAAGGCCTTCGCAATCGGGAATATCTGAGGTCCAGCGGTTCTGGAAGATGCATCGGGCGCCGCGGCCTCCTCAGAGCTCTCTGGAAAGCTCTGAGAGCTACTGTGGAACGCTCTGGAACGATGCCTCCGCCCAACCGGCCGACGACAAGACAAGGGGCGACGGCAAGCGATCTGCCCAACCGCCCGACCGCCCGCCCGACCTGTCCTGGCCCCGCCCGACGGCGACGGCGGCGGCTGGCAGAGTGGACCCTGAGATCTGGGCGACGTTAACTTGGCGGCGAGCCCGGGGTCAAGTGAGAGGGGCCTTCTCAGAAGGCTCGCAAGTCCCCTGGCCTTGTGAGAAGTGTCCTACGCCTTCCCGAAGACACCAAAAAGCATATCCAAGGGCCGGAGGGCTTCTGAGAAGCCCCGCCGCCTTCTAAGAAGGCCTTCTCCTTCTCACTTCCTCCCCTCGCGCGCCGCCGAGTTCAACTTTCGGGTCATAACTCGGGTCTCTGGCGGCCGTTCGGGACGATCTGGGCATCCCCGGAACGCTCTCCGCGAGGCGCAGCCGCTGGAACGCATCCCGAGGGCGGAAAACTGCCAAGGAACTGAGAAAACGCCCGAAAACCTAGAACCTCGAAGTTCGAACCTCGAACCGTTCCCGAATCTGGGCGACGACAACGGCGACGGCGACGAGAACGACGGCGGCGACAGTGGCGGCGGTGGGCCCCCCCTTGTGACAATGAAGGCCGTTATCGCCCTGGAATAAAAAACAGGCTCAAGGCGGCTGACGCCCAGCAGCTGGCGCGGCGGGAGCAAAACGGGGCTGCTCCGCCGGCGGGCGCGGGCGGAAGGCTGGCGGAAGCCAGGCGGTGGGGTTTCTCAGAAGCCCTCCGGCCCTCCGCAGAAGCCCCCTACGGCTCTGGAGAAGGCTCCGAGAACTCCTCAGAAGCTCTCTGGCCTTCCGACAGGCCCTCTGCGGCCCCGGCGGAGGCTCAGAAGGCGCCCCAGAAGGCCGGAGGCCTTCTGAGCCTCCCGAGAAGGCCCGCCCCCTCCCGCCGCTCCCCACCAGGCGCGCCGCCGCCTGCCCTGGATCGGCGTCCCCCTCCCCGAAGCTGAGGCCTGGTGGGATTCGTGGCTCGGGCTCCCTGCGTGGGCCCTGCCTGCGGCAAGGTCCTGGCAGCGGGGGCAGATCTGGTGGCCAGAGGATGTCCCCCTCCTACTTCCCCTCTCTCTCCTCCCATCTCGCCCGCCCTTCCAGCAGCCCCCCTATGTTCCTTCCCCCCCTCCCTCCCTGAACCTGGCCCTCCTTGCCCACCTCCACCCTGGTGCATCCTCGCTTCGTCTCTCCTCCCCCCTTCCACCCGATCGCTGCCGAGCCGCTGGTCTGACTGGTCGAGCGGGCCGCACGCCCTGCGGGAACCTGGTCGAATGGGCTCGCGGCCCACACCCCACACCGCAGATCGGGGCACGACTGAGTGCTCGACCGCCTCAACGAGGGTCACGCCAGGCACCTTCGGCATGGTCCCATTCGCAAGGCTGAATACAGTTCCATTCGCGAGGCTGAAGGTCGAGTCGCCTTCAGACCACTCGGCAAAGTCGTAAGGGCAGCTGTGGCACGACAGGGGCCCCGCGGACGCCTGGCACGCCATCATGGTCGGGCGGCGGCGCGAATTCCAGAGGGAAATTCTAGGAGTGGCGACGTGAGCTTGAGAGCTGTGGCTGCACGACCTGGAACTGAAGCGGAGGGAGGGAGCGTGGCGGAATTTGGGAGGGAGGGGGTGAAGTGGAAGGGAGGAAATGGGGGGAGCTGGGGAGCTGGGGGGGGATGGCAAGAAGGAGGGAAGAGGGGTGCATTTCTGGTTCGGCTTCGCCAGCCCCATGAAGCGATGCCAGCGCATGACATGAGACTGCGGAGTTGGCAGGGTGTCCTGCCGCAGGACCGCAGGGGTGGATCATGGGGAGGAGGGGGGAGGAGGGGATGGGGAGGGGCGAGCGCGATGACACAACTCCTTCCTGGGGCCAAGTCTCCTCATGATCCGCCTCCTCTCTCTCTCTCTCCTCCCCCTCACTTCGCACATCCTCCTTCTCCTCTGCCAGCGGCGCTCGTGGGGAGAGATCGCGGGAGCACGCGTGTCGACCAAAGGACCGTGCCTCGCCTCTGCGACGAAGAGCCGCCCTGTGGGGCCTCCAGACCGTGAAGAGCACGCCGCTTCGGCCGAGCTGTCGTCGGGATGCCGTGGGGGGATGTCGTGCAATAAACAAACGCGTCCTGCCCCCCCCCCCCCCCCTGTTGAGGAATGCCTCCCCTGGCCACGGAAGAGCGCCAGTCGCCCTGACGGGTGCAGCCTCGAGTCTCGGCCCCCACGAGCGCCCGAACAGCACACTGGGTCCGCGCTCCCAGACCACGACGTCCCACTTACAACGCTACGAGGGATCCGCGCTCCCAGATCTGAGAGCGCTCGTGAATTGCAGAATCTGCGTCACCAGGGCCAAGGGTCCTCGTAGGTTACTGAAGGTCCACACTGCCAAGGCCACGACCCCTCGGAACTCTACCGACCCCAAAGACGTGTGGGAACAAAATTGCTGCCCCGTCGATCCATCCCTACGGAAGAATCCACGGAATACGGAGCACCTTTCCTAACATAGTCCCTCTCTGGACATGTTTATAACACATGCGCACACGTACACCGACGTGTACGCATCCATATACACACATATGCTACGCCCGCCGCGTATCCTGAAACACTAGTTAGAATGTCCTCAAGTCCCCGCGAGTTATCGGCATTCAATACCGTACATGTGTTCTTCAAGGGACCCGCAGCCTGGAGTTATGGGCGCTCCTGGGTGCTCCTTTCCCCACGTGACTTCTCCAGAGGCCAACAGCGCATTGGTCGGCACATGCATGTCCAACATGGCCTAATACGTACTGGAGCCCTCGTGGGCGCCTCCTGGGCCGTCTTGGAGGCCCCCGGGGGCGGCCCAAGAAGCCAAATCGTCAAATCCACTGTTTGTGTTTGCATCTGTGGTTTTGCATTACCGCCGCTGGCTCAAGGGGCACCCAATATCGCACAAAAACAAGCCAAGAGCCCCAACGAGGGGCACAGGAGGCCGCCAAGACAGCCCCAAGAAGGGCCCAAGCGGGGGAACACGAACTGACATTTTGAGCCCATGGTCCCAAGATCTCCCCAGAGGCCCCCGAGGTCCTAGAGCACATCCAGCGGCGCCCCCGAGAGACTTCCGAGAGGTCTCCCACTTGGCCAATAGGTACTCACAGGCATCCCAGGGGCCTCTGACCGACAACCCAGCCAGACACAATGGCGGGATGGGCGAAAGGAAATTACCCTGGCGACGTACCCAACCCCTGCGCAAACGCGGGGCGCAAATAGTTTAGGTCACGTTATAAAGGGGGGCGGTGACGGAGCGATGGTTACATATGTCTGCAGACGGAATTCGGGAGACTCGCAGGACACTGGCCACAGGACAAGTACTAGATAAAGCTGATTAGCTACAATCCCTTAGCACCCCAAGCCACTTCGAAAGCGGGGATCTCATATCGCAGCCCCCGAGAGATGGCGAGGTCTAACTTGAGTCTGCGGCGAGGTTCCAGAAACAATAACGGTTCGAGGATGGTGTGATCGAGGGCCTGAGAGCAACTCACGAGGCATGAAGGGCGTCTCGTGGAGAGCAAGTTGTTTCTTTCCGCTTCGCCCCCTAGGGATGGCGAGGTCTAATTTGGGTCCGCGCGCAGCGTCACTGTGCTGGGCCTCCCAGCAGGCTTCGAAAGTGGCGACAGTTCCACAGATCGCAGCCCCCCAGGGATGGCGAGGTCTAATTTGAATCCGCCCGTGGCGTCACTGTGCTGGCCCCCCCAGCAGGCCTCGAAAGTGGCGACAGTTTCACAGATCGCAGCCCCCCAGGGATGGCGAGGTCATCACTGTGCTTGGGATGAAAGTCACACTGTGCTCAGCAGGCCTCGAAAGTGGCGACAGTTTCACAGATCGCAGCCCCCCAGGGATGGCGAGGTCTAATTTGAATCCGCCCGTGGCGTCACTGTGCTGGGCCCCCCAGCAGGCCTCGAAAGTGGCGACAGTTTCACAGATCGCAGCCCCCCAGGGATGGCGAGGTCTAATTTGAATCCGCCCGTGGCGTCACTGTGCTGGGCCCCCCAGCAGGCCTCGAAAGTGGCGACAGTTTCACAGATCGCAGCCCCCCAGGGATGGCGAGGTCTAATTTGAATCCGCCCGTGGCGTCACTGTGCTGGGCCCCCCAGCAGGCCTCGAAAGTGGCGACAGTTTCACAGATCGCAGCCCCCCAGGGATGGCGAGGTCTAATTTGAATCCGCGCGTGGCGTCACTGTGCTGGGCCCCCCAGCAGGCCTCGAAAGTGGCGACAGTTTCACAGATCGCAGCCCCCCAGGGATGGCGAGGTCTAATTTGAATCCGCCCGTGGCGTCACTGTGCTGGGCCCCCCAGCAGGCCTCGAAAGTGGCGACAGTTTCACAGATCGCAGCCACCCAGGGATGGCGAGGTCTAATTTGAATCCGCCCGTGGCCCTCACTGTGCTTGGGCCCCCCAGCAGGCCTCGAAAGTGGCGACAGTTTCACAGATCGCAGCCCCCCAGGGATGGCGAGGTCTAATTTGAATCCGCCCGAGGCGTCACTGTGCTTGGGCCCCCCAGCAGGCCTCGAAAGTGGCGACAGTTTCACAGATCGCAGCCCCCCAGGGATGGCGAGGTCTAATTTGAATCCGCCCGTGGCGTCACTGTGCTGGGCCCGCCAGCAGGCCTCGAAACTGGCGACAGTTTCACAGATCGCAGCCCCCCAGGGATGGCGAGGTCTAATTTGAATCCGCCCGCGGCGTCACTGTGCTGGGCCCCCCAGCAGGCCTCGAAAGTGGCGATAGTTTCACAGATTGCGGCCCCCCGCAGGCAAGACAGGAGGAGGCAAGAGGGAGGTGGGACGGGAGGCAGGAGGGAGGAAAGGAGGAAGTGGAGACCACACTGCTCTATTCCAAACGAATACCCAACCAAGGAGGGTTGGGAAATATGCATGGCTTCCAAGCGGTCCAGAAGACGCCCCAAGAGGCCCCCCAAACACCTTCCAACAGAGCTCTAAGAGGCACACATCGCTTCACGCGGTTCGGAACACGTGCATGTTTAGCATCTGCGACTGTTCGGCCGTCACGGCGTCCACGACAGCCCAAGAGGCCTCTCAGATCACCGCAAGACGGCCCAAGAGGCATCGAAGAGGGCCCGGAGACGCTCCACGAGGGCCCCAAGATGGCCCAAAAAGTGCCCAAGACGGCCCAGGAGGGCACTCAGAGGGCTCCCACAGATGTCCAAGAGGGGAAACTCGAATTGAGATGTCGAGCCCCCAGCCTCAAAGGGACCCCCGAGACCGCCAGCAGACCTCCAAGAGGCCCCAAGAGGCCCCCAAACGGCCCGAAAAAGGAACTCCAAATGACACCGCCCCCCCTCTCTCTAGATACATCTATATATATATATATATATATATATATATATATATATATACGCATATATATATACATACATATATATATGCATACATACATACATACATACATACATACATACATACATACATACATACATACATACATACACACATACCTACATGCATACATACATGCATACATACATACATACATACATGCATACGTACATACATACATATGTATCGAAACATATATATATATATGGTTGGTGTGTATATAAATAACTAACTAAATGTGCATCCATATGTGTATATGTCTGAAAATACGTGTGTGCGGCGCATCTCTCTCTCTCTCTCTCCTTTTATATGTTGTATATATATGCACATAAAACTGTATATACGTGTGTGCACATATGCGCACCCTATTAGTTTTTACAAATGTATGTCTGCATGTATGTAGGTAGGTAGGTTGGTAGGTCCGTAGGTAGGTGCTAGGTCGGCATGCAGGTGTGTCTGTCTGTCTATCTGTCGGTCGGTATGTCTGTCTGCATGCAGACATGGATGCGTGCATGGTTGTAAGTCTGTTTGTATGTGTGCATGCATGTATGCATGTGTGTATGTATGAATGTATACATGTATGCAACTATGCACGTACGTGGGTCACTCCGTATGTATGTGTGTATGTATTCATGTCTGGCTGTACGCAGGCACGTGCGTATGCATGTGTGGATGTATGTATGCATGTAGGTATGCATGGTTATACATGTGTACGTGTGTATGCATGTCTATAGTTGCAAGTATACATGTACACATGCAGGTAGGTACGTAGGTATGTAGGTATGTATACCTGCATGTAGGGTGTTGATACCTGTATGTATGTACGTACCCATATGTCGGGAGAGGTAGGTCGAAACATGAAGCAGGGAGGCGGTGCACGTAGATTGGGCCACCACCCGCCCCCTGAAGAGGATGGAAACGGGGACGCCACTCGATCATATAAGTAGGGAAGGCGCTGAATATTTAACAATGAGAATCCAGAGGTACCTACTCTCAGCGGCCGATGGGTACGTATGTATGTATGCATGCATGCGGTTATGCATGTATGGATGTATGAATGTATGACTGTATGACTGTATGAATGCATGAATGTATGAATGAATGTATGAATGTATGTATGTATGCATACATACATGTATGCATGCATGTATGTAGGGGTGTATGTGTATATGTGTGTGTGTGCATGTATGCATGTAGAAGTAGGTCTGCATGGATGTACGAGTATGTATATATACATATATATATGTACAGAGAGAGACATATAATGGCAGTCGGCCAAGCTCGTCACCGTGCCTGGGTTGTGGGTCATAGGCCTCCTGGATGGTCGTTGGGACCTCGTGGGAGGCATCTCTGAGGGTGCCCCGGAGACAATTTTGAAGCCTCTGGGATGCTGTTCTCGGGTCTCTATTGGGCCTCGTGGGGCCTCTTGAGGGCCTCTTGGGGGCCTGTTGGGGGCCTCGTGGGGCCTCTTGGGTGATGGCCGGGTCGCGTTCCCCCTCGTGAGCCCCTCTTGGGGCAGTCTTGGGGCCCTCTTGGGCCGTCTTGGAGCTGTCTTGGCGGCCTCTTGGGACGTCTTGGGTCGTTCTTGCCTCTTGGGCCGTCTTGGGGCATCGGAATCGAAAACCCACCGATCATCGAAAAACCTTCGGACAATCAGCGAAGTTGTTTCGATTGGGTTCCTCTTGGGACGCCTCTTGGGGCTCCCTTGAGGCGACTCCAAGGCGTGTTGGGCCGCCTTGGGATCATCTCGGACGTATTGGAGCGATCGTTTGGCGATTCCGAACACTCTTCAACCGTCTGGGCGGCCTCCTGTGGCCCTCGTGGCTTGTCTCGGGGCCCCTGTGGGCCAGAAAAAATCACCCAGACGGGCAAAGAAGCCTCCAAGACGCGCCAAGAGGTCTCCATGAGCTATCCCAACAAAGCTCCAGGAGGCCAAAGCCGTCCCATTTCCCAGGGACGGGAGAACATCTATGTTTGGCATTTGCAGCGTTTCGGCTTTCACGGCGTCCGACACGGCCCAAGATGCCAGGTAATCCCAAGACGGCCTGAGAGGCCCCCAATCTGTCCCCGAGACGCCCCAAGAGGGCCCCAAGACGGGCCAAGAAGCGCCCAAGACGGCCCAAGAGGGCCCCCAGAGGGTTCCAAGAGGGGGAACTCGAATTGAGCGAGCCCTACGCCCCAAAGGCCCCCCCGAGACCGCGAGCAGGCCCCCAAGAGCCCCTAAGAGGACCCCCAGAGGCCCCGAAGAGGCCCCAGAAGGCCCCCTAGAGGCCCCCAAGATGTCTCAAGAGGACAGGCCCCAGTAGCTCTGACCTCGAAGCTCACAAACGGCCGCGCGCCATCGCCGTCCCAACCCGATCATATACTGGACCGAGGAACCACACGGTGGCGGGATGGGCCGCAGACCATTCGATATCCGTCGCCCCCTGTTGATTCATCATAGGGGTGCCTGGCGTGCTGAAGGTTTGGTTGTTCCGGGTTCTTTAAAAAACTCCCCCTGGAACTTCGGCCGATCCCGCCGGCCACCCCGGAAAGCTCTTCCAGGCGCGCATCGCTCCTCGACGTTTCCGCTCAAGGGGCCTCCAAGACCGACCAAATGACCTCCCAGACGGCCAAGATGGCTCCAAGAGGGCCCAAGATAGCCCCAAGATGGCATCCAAGATGGTCTGAAGATGCCTCCAAGATCGCCCAGATGGTCCAGGAGAGCCCAAGACGGTCCAAGAAGAGCCCAAGAGGCCCCCAAGACTACCCAACAGGCCTCCAAGAGGTCCTCCAGGAAGGCCCGAAGAGGCCTAAACCATTGATTTGCCTTGGGTTGTTGCTGGATTTTGGCATTTGCTTCTTTTCGGCCTTCCAGCGGCCCAAGACGGCCCCAGAGGCCTCCACGATTACTCAAGAGACCCAAGAGGGCCCAAGAGACCCCCTGGATGCCGCCAAGAAGCCCCTTAGAGCCCCCCCAGAGGCTCCCATGGAGGCTCCAAGCGCCCCAGGAGGGCCTCAAGAGGCCTCATCGTCTTCCTCCTCGGCCTTCTCCTCCTTCTCCTCCTCCTTTCTCGTTCTTCCCCCAGTGTCCAAGGGGTTCCACCAATGACTGGGGGAACACATAACAGTCCAATAGCTTGGCCTGACTTCGGCCCAACGTTTGGCCGCATGGGCGTTTATAAAAAGCAACGCCCCCCTGCGGTCTTGCCACAGAAGTGCACCGCGTGCCGAACGTCTTCCCAAAAAGGCCCAGAAGGCCCAATATCCCCCCACGATCGCTCAAGAGGCCCCCAAGATGGACCCACCACGGCCCAAGAGGTCTCCAAAACGGCCCCAAGAGGGCCCCAAGACGGCCTAAGAGGCCTCCAAGACCTGAAGCGCCCCAATACTGCCCCAAGCCAGCCCTCAGAGGCTCCCAAGACGGCCAAGGAGGCCCCCAAGATGCCCCCAAAGGCCCCCCCCCCGAGGCCCAAGGAGGCCCCCAAGAGGCCTCCAAGAAGCTCCCAGGAGGCCCCAATAGTGACCTAAGAAGCTCCCAAGAAGTCTCCTCATCCTTCTCCTCATCCTCCTTTTTCCTCTCTCTCCTCATCCCTCTCTTCCTCCCCCGCATGTTCTCCGAAGGGCTTCCACAACGGCTGGGGGAACGCACGGTCCAATAGCGTGGCAAAACTCTGCCCAAATGTTTGGCCGCATAGGCGTATCTTAAAGGGCAGGGGGCGGCGGTGATTCGCCGTAGGCGGCGTCGATTATACAAACATGCAGAGGCATCAGCGTGTGGCGAGGCACTGAGTGGAGTGTCCTCAGGTCCCTGATGATTGAGCATTGACATGTTGACATGCTCTTGAAGAGCGAACGCCCTAAAAGCACGGGCGCCCCTGGGCGCTAACCGAGCTAGAAGCCCAAATCACTGCACTGAACAACCACATTAGACGAAGCCAAGACCAGGACCAAATAGGACTGGGACAAAGCGGGGATGTCTTAGATCCGGCGGTTCTGGAGGCTGTATCGGTCTCCGCAGACGTTCCAGAGCTTCCAGCACGCTCTGAGAGCGTTCCGGAACGCTCTGGAATGATTTATCCCGGTCCCAGCCCCGCCCGTGGGGTCCTCGCGTGGAATGCGGAGGAGGGTTGGGAAACGCACGAAGAAGAGGGGGGAGTGCAGTAGGAGGAGTGTGGAGACGCGCGGCGCGTGGGGTCGCGATGGCCTCCCTGGTTGGCATGTTCGACGCGATCTCTTTTCAGTGCAGGTGTCGTCGCGATGTTTGACGTTCTGCAGCAGCACAGGCGCAGCACATACTGGAACCTGACCGATACCCAGCATCATCCGAACGTCGTCGAACCACGATCCAGCCGCGACTGAACGTCGCTCGACGCCAGCCTGGTGACTTGGCGTACGCCCGGCTGCAGCTGTTCGTAGCGGACGTTCCCCCCGACCGTAGAAACAAGCCTGTACTGGGCCGGGTGCGCTTGATGTGAGGGGAAACGTTAGGGGGGACCGGCTCAAGGGGGGGAGGACATCGACCAAGCATCGGCGATACATCGCCGATACATCGTCGCTGGGTCCCCGACCAGGAATCCGCACGCTTCTGGGCGGGGCGGGGTATTGGTATCGGACCCTTGTCGGCGATGAACGGGCGGTCGGGGGTGCATGCATCCCTCCCCGATCCTACAGTCGTCGGGCGATCTACCACAAGGAACACTGAAGGAGGAACGAAGAGGCTTCTTGAGCCACGGCGAGCCGCGGCCACGAACGAGTGTCCCGACCTCTGGGCCTCGGGAGCGGCCCTCAAAACAGGGCCTCTCCGAAGGCCAGCCAGAGCGGTCCTGATCTAGACAAGCCAAAACATGCATCAACGAACACGTTCCTTGGTCTGCGCGGATTTCTTGGATCGGCGGACCCCCCCCCTCCCTGGCGCGCGGAGCGGCCCAGGGGCGGCGCCGGAGGCGCCGCCAGGGGGGCTCAGCGCCGAGCCGAGAAATCTGCGCAGAGCTACGACAATTTACGTGCGTGCAGCTGTTTTTTCCTCGACTGACTGTACGGCAGGTTCGTGTCGTGCCGACCCCAGCGCTGGTTCCTGACACCGCGGGGATCGTTCAATCTTGAACGGTCGGCCGTTTCCAAAACGTCAGATCGTTCAACATCGACCGCTCCTGGGTCGCCCGCGGCGTTCAACGTGGAGCGCCGGCGGCGGGGTCGCCGCCGACCTCGACACGACGCGACCGCATGCCCCGCCCTGACGTTGCCCCCGATGGTGCCCTCGCAGCGGAGACTCCCCGCTGGCCAGCTGCCGCTCGGCAGCGCCCGCCTGGCCCAAATCCCGCGCGGCAACGCCCGGGGAGGCTGCCCCGCCGGGCACGCCCTGCCAGAGCTGGGGGGCGAGGCCTCGCCGAGGCGGATGCCCCGAGGACAGGCTGCCCGAGGCGGCCCAGGGCAGCGCCTCTGCCGGATGTCGACGAAGAGGAGAAAACTGCACAATCACGAGCTGTCGGAGGTCCGCTCGGCCTTCTCGCGTCGGCGCTGGACCCCGCTGGCGCGCTCCGCGCGCCAGGGGGGGGGCCCAGCGCCGATCGAACAAATCCGCGCGAGCCTCCGACAACTTCTGCTTGTGCCGCTCGTTCTGCTTCGAGGATGGCCGGGGACGGCGGGGGAGTGCCACCCCAGCGCCGAGCCCTGCGCGTCGAGGCTGCGCTCCTGGGCCAGCTGTTGCTGCATGGCGAACAGGTTCTGCATGTTGGTGATCATCTCGCGCTGCACCTGCTAAGACGAAGCCAAGACCAAGACCACATCGGACTGGGACAAAGCGGGGATGTCCTAGATCCGGCGGTTCTGGAGGCTGTATCGGTCTCCGCAGACGTTCCAGAGCTTCCAGCACGCTCTGAGAGCGTTCCGGAACGCTCTGGAATGATTTATCCCGGTCCCAGCCCCGCCCGTGGGGTCCTCGCGTGGAATGCGGAGGAGGGTTGGGAAACGCACGAAGATGGGGGGGAGTGCAGTAGGAGGAGTGTGGAGACGCGCGGCGCGTGGGGTCGCGATGGCCTCCCTGGTTTGCATGTTCGACGCGATCTCTTTTTCAGTGCAGGTGTCGTCGCGATGTTTGACGTTCTGCAGCAGCACAGGCGCAGCACATACTGGAGCCTGACCGATACCCAGCATCATCCGAACGTCGTCGAACCACGATCCAGCCGCGACTGAACGTCGCTCGACGCCAGCCTGCTGACTTGGCGTACGCGCCTACTGAGAAGCCGTCTGCCTTTGGAGAAAGGTCAGAAGACTTATTGGAGGGCGCCAGAACTTCTGAGCAGCCCCGCCTCCCTCTGAGAAGTCCAGCCCCTCTGCCTTCCCCCCTGGGCCCGCTTAGAATACGTTCCAGGATCTCCAGGGTGTCCAGCAGCCCGTGTGGAGAATCAGGAGACATCTTGGAAGTCCTGGGAGCCTTGGACAATTCTCGAACACGCATCACGATCATGGGCCTCTTACACCTCCGACACGACGCGATCTCTCTCCCCAGTGCAGGCGACGCCGCGGCGCCCCGCCCCGCCCGGCCTGCTGGCGCACGAGCAGCTCCTCGGTGATCTGCTGCTGGAGTTCGGTGCTGTCTCGGGCATAGCCGGCGGCCGGCGAGCCCCCGTCCCGGGCGCGCCTGAGCATCGTCTACCCGATCCCCATCCCCACTGGCATGGTCTCGACCCCACTGGCCGATTTCCCCCCCCCCCCCCTCCCCTGTTTCGATGGAGGCATGGGCTGCTCTCTTCGGGTCTCGAGGGGCCCATCCCCACCCTGGGGGGTGGGATGGGGGGGGGCCGATTGGTGCCATGGCGCAGCGGGGACGGGGATCGCTTCAACGATGCTGGGCGCCGGCGCTGGAGGTCGGCGAGCTCGCCCACGGTGGCCTCGCGCCTCTGCAGCACGTCTGCAAGCTGCTGCTGCTCCTGGAGGAGCCCCTGCTGCAGCTCGGCCCGGGCGCGCTCCCCGTCCGCGAGCCGGGCCTCGGCCTCGCCCAGCTGCCTGTCCTCTGGGGCGGTGGGGTCTGCGCAAGGCCTGCGACAGGGATATACGGGGATAGGGGAGGCACGGGCCGCGAGGCACAGGGCACAAGCGCACCCTTTTGACCCCGTTCTGCGAGGTCGCTCCCGTGGCCGCCCACCGCCCCCAGCCACAGGCCCACACCTGGGTCCAGGAGCGGCGCGACGAGGCGCCCCCCTGGCCTGGCCGGGAGGGCATACCCAGGCATCCGATGTGCTGATATTTTCATGCCGATCCGCACCTCCAGGGGTCTCAGTCTCGACCCCTTCCCCGGGTGCTGTGCTCTGGCCCCGATCCGTTTTTGATGGCCCAGGGGCTCGAGAACGGGCCCCTGATGCCGAGATGGAAGGAAACCGCCAGGACTTTTTTTTTTTTTTTTTTTTTTTTTTTTCCACTCCCCTGCAGTGCTTTGGTAACGGTTTGATGTTGCGTTGGCTGCATAGCCAGGTGCAGCAGCGTTGCCCAGAGGGCGGCCACTAAGAGTTGGCAAGACTGTTGCTCGCGCAGTGGTTATATTTGGCAGGCAAAGAGGAAATAACAGCTACTGTGGAGGCTCCCATCTGCCGCAGGGGGTGCCAGGCATCCTGGACGGCAGCGCCTCTGTACCTGTCCCAGAAGGCAGAGGAACAGAGAGGGGAGGAGGACGACGGGTAAGCCTGCGCACGATGGTGGGCGACCGGCCCGACCACGCATCAGACAAAACCTGGTGTCTCCGGGCCGTGACACGGAGGCGGGCCTCGAAGTGCTCAGCAGGAGAGCCAGCACACGAGAGGCGACGTGCATTATGAGCAGCCAAGAATGCATCACAGCATGCAGCACGCAACAGGCAGACATGAGGAGGCTCGCGGAAGAGGAGGAGGAGGAGACAGAACCAGTACGGTCGCTCGCCATTCGGTCCACGGAACGGTCCAGAATACATTTCAAGATATGGGCCCAGCCAGAAGTCCAGGAGGTCCCGAAGCCCAGGACAAGAACAGTAGTGATCAATAGAGTCCAGGTCTTTCCCATGAGTTGGCGGAGCGCACCCAAAGAGGCAACCAGCAGCTTGACAGTGAAATCTCGCACTCGTGTTGAAAGAGGCCGTGAGCAGACGCAGAGGGGCAACTCCAAGATACATGGAAGTAGCTTTCACCACTCTCTTCACGTTCAGCCGAAAGTCTGATATCATCGAGGCCCGAGCCTCCGGGATAAAATACTGAGCACGGCGGAGAAGGATAGACTGAGCAGGTTCCGTTTGGTGGTGCTGGCGGAGAAGAGCGTACAGCTTGGTTTGAAGAGTCTTACTCGTGATATCTATATTGGGATTGACACTATGGAACCAAGAATACAGGCCACGCATATAAGAGATAAACGAAGACTTATGCCAACCACGGTGCCAGCGAAACGGTATATGCTCGGGATCATCACGGGCGGCCTCGAGATCAGTAAGAGCCTGCTGAAAAACAGAAGAGCGAAGGGAGTACCTGATGCACGCCGCCTTCGCAACGGCATGGATGTCAGTGAACTCAGCACCTAGACCAATCTCCTTAAATTTAGTGGCCAAGTTGTACGAAATAGCATTCCTCGGCCCAACCGTGAGAAGCAATACCCCTTCCTTGAAGATCTTAGTAATAGCCTGGTTGGGAGGATACATCTGGAACCTGAACATAAGGAGCGAGACGCACATGACCCTAAACGAGACGGCCGATAAAGCTAGACCAAGACCGAGCCCACGTGTGTGTCTAATACGATGGTGAAAACGAGGAGCGATATCATCCCAGACATGGAGGTGACCATCGGGACCAATGGGGATTCCCAGATAGAGGGCCCACAAACAAATCAGGATCTCATCATACGGCGAGCCGAAGGAAGCAAGGGTAGCCTTCAGGAAGTCCTTATTCATCTCACTACAAATAATAATCTGGCACTTCTTAAAGTTCAAACGAAGGTTAGCAATCTTGGCCAGGAGCATGAGAGACGATAAAACTGGCTCTAGATCCCGCAATGTGTTGGTCAATCCAAATAGGAAGTCATCCGCATAAGCCAGGTGAATACTGATGTTGAGAGAACAGCGATGGCCAAGCCATCGCAGCAGAGGATCAACTGCAAGCACAAATAGTTGCATGGAGGCAGGGCAGCCTTGCTTGACACCAGAGGTGATAGCGATCCAATCATAACGCCGAGAAGAGATAGTAATCTGAGCAATGCTATCCTCATACATCATTTGGTAGAATCGAAGAACAGGGGCAGGAATACTCATCATACGAAGAACGTGAAATAGCCAGGCAGTAGAAAGAGAGGGGAAGGCAGCAGAGAAGTCCGTAAGGAAGAGGGAAGAGTACTTATCACCACACATGTGCCGAGAGATGCCCCAAGCCTCAGCCTGAATCACATTCGCAAGCATATCACGACCACGCGCACAAGCTTGCACCCGACTGACAAGAGGGGCAGTGTGATCAACAAGTGCGGACGTGAAGGCGTTAGCAAGCAACTTGATATCCGTGTTGCACATGCTCAGCGGCCTAGTAGCAGAGGGATGACGACAGAGGTGCGGACAGCCAGGAACATCACGAGGGTCAGAGCCCTTTGGCAGAAAGACTAAAAGGCTTCTCTTCATGTCATCAGGAAGAGAATGGACCTGACCGTCAAAGAGGGAAAGGTAGACACTGTAGAGGATTCTGGAGGCATTCTCATTCTTCCAGACAGCGTACGGAATGCCGTCAGGCCCAGGCATACTATGATGACGTTTAGTGATGAGCTCAAACCAGATATGATAGGGAAGAAGCCAGTCGCGATCCAAAGGGCCCGAGAGAACCTGGATGAACGGGTTGATTTCGTCCCAGAGCGAAGGGTCCACCGACGGGGCCTTGAAAACATCACGCCAGTAATCGCGGAGAGCAGCAGCCGAGGCCTCCGAGGAAGTGAGGGGAGAGCCCTGATCATCATAAACAGTCGAGAGATACGTGCGCTTGCGAAACTTCGTCCAGAGCTCCTTACGGCGCTGGTTACGGGCAGAAAGGTCACGCTTGCGGTCTGCGTCAAGGTCCGACATACTGATAGCATCCTCCTCGTCCTTCAAGATTTTAAGAAAGAGAGTACGGACATGTTGACACAGGCCATCCAAATGCACACATTCCGTTAGATCAGCATTAAAGTGGACACGAAGCCTTGGGTAGCAAGCGACTGCATGGCGGAGGCGCTGCTCATGCCCGAGACGAAGGGCACGAAGGGCTGCAAGAGACCAGTGATGCTTATCTTGGAGAGAAACAGCTTGGCGGGATCCTAGAGCAGCACGCGCTGCGGAGGCGGCCTCGAAGAAGTAATCTTTAGCAACCTGAAGTTTCGGGAGAGGACCCCAGGACAAAGGAATTTCACCCAAGAGCCCGTCAAGGGCAGAGTGAAACTCAGGTAAGGACGCAAGCCAAGGAGAGATGACAGGGTGCCGCGACGAAGGGGAGAAAATCTCAAGGGAAGCAATAACAGGGATGTGATCGCTAGCCATGAAGCTTTTGAGGGAACCCAGGACACCGGCCCGAGAGGTAATGTCCCGAAGCAGGGCAGGGGGGAGGGAGGTGTAAATGCGGTCAATCCTGGAGGTAACCTGGACCGCTTTACCCCGTTTTCCCCGTCTCGTGTCCTGGTCTTGAAATAATTCAGTGAGGCACGGGAAGAACTTGTGGAATAATCTCGCATGCGTAGAATCTCCAGCAGTCCACCCACTCCCGTCACCCTTGAACCTACCCTCCTCCTCAAGAACGAAGTTAAAATCGCCCATGATGATGCAATGGGCAGGCAGATCACCGCCGCCGTGACAGTGCGAGTTAAAGTCAGCTTGAAGGATCCGAAGGACTCCCTGATAGATAGCAATAGGATCACAAGTATTGGGGAGGTGAACGTTATATATGACCAAATTGCCTCGGGGACCAGTGAGAGTACTCTTGAGGATCCTGCCAGTGATAAGCACATGATGACTAATGTCCTGGAACGGGGAGGCGAGGGAAGATGGAAGGAAACCGCCAGGACTGAAGAGATCAATCCGCGGGCTGTCCGGGGATGGGCCTGCCGAGTACGGAAAGCAGGGGCTTTTCTGGCCACGGTGGGACGCGGCAACAGCGAGGTTCCACGGCCTAGCTCCGAGGCACGGCCCGAAACCAGCCCCTCCTGCAGGAGGAGGAGGAGGAAAAGGAGGAGGAGGAGGAGGAGGAGGAGGAGGAAAAGGAGGAGGAGGAGGAACGATGAGGGAACGATGACAAACCGGACAACACATCCCACCGATATTCACCTGGCGAAAAAGGAGACAATCACCCCTTCCGGCGCACTGCGCGCCTCTTCTGAATGAGGACGTTGGGACTGCCGTCAGGCCAGCAGGTATTCTCCTTTTTTTTTTTTGAAAGGACCTCCCATTCTTGAATTTTGGTCCGAACTTATTTATCTGCTGGGGTGGGCTGCCCGACACAAGCACTAATGAGACCTGGCCCTAGCCTGCCTCCTGTCGGCGTTTTGGGCCCCAAACAACCACACCTCCGACAGAAAATGTGACCATACTAAATGGCAGCAGTATGCGATTCATGCACTACCTTCCCTTGGACACTATAAATGGGGGAAGTCGGACTGGCCTACCCTGAGACCCAACTCGGTGGAACTGGGGCCCGCGACACTAGCGTTGGCGAAACCCGTCCAAAACCGAAAACTTCCCTGGGCCACTTTAGCAGTAGCTGCACACGCAAGAAGGCCCCACGTTTGACAGTTGGTGTCCCGACAATCTCTCGAGGTCCTGCCTTAAGCGCCAGGCATGGGGCAGCCTGACCTCACGCTCGAAGTCGGAACCAGCAGCCTCCGCATTCACTATAGCCAGTCTCCGTTTGTCCAGTCACGCCTTCAAACCCACTCAAGCTAAGTCTCTGACTACAACCTCCATATCATGTGAAACGGGTTTCATGCCATCACTTGTCAAATCTACATGCTAGATCATTTCCTCTGGAAATGAAACAGCAGCTGGACACCCTTT